TAACACACAGACACGACTAACGGAGGACTAAAGGCTTCAAGCCTGCAGATACTTTTGTCTTCACTTGATTTCATATTTTACTCCTTAGACTTTCATGACACTTCACAGCAATCTCATTGTTCTTTCACTAATAGAATTTAATTTCTTGGTGTCGTTTCTCCACTAATTATTTACATTGTTCCAATTACTTGTAAATCATCTCTCACATTGTAGGAGGGTCCTGGTATCTGATCTTGATGCTTTGAACCAAATCTCACTAAAAGCTAGTGATGTCTAACTTGTAACTGTAGGCACAGGCACAGTGTTTTCAGTATCATGTCTGATGCGCCGATCTCTTTGTCCCCAGCTTTGCCCCCCTTAGTCTGAATGTTTCCTTAGAAGCAGACCCTACCTGTAGCACTGGGACCAGGAACCCCACCTCCCTGTACCTGGAAGACTGGCTCAGACTCTGATGAGGGCCCTGAAAGAAGCCAGGCAAGGTGGTACATGCCTTTCATTGTAGCATTCTGGGAGGCTGAGACAGGAAGGTCCCAGGTTGAAGTGTAGCTTGGGTGATTTATTAAGAACTTGTTTGAAATAAAATAGAGTGAGAGAGGTAGCTCTATGCAAAGGTCCTTGGTTAATTCCTTAGTAACACAAACAAGAATAAAAACTCAAAGCCAGGGCCAGCGGTGTCTCTGTAGGCCGTGCCTGGTACTTTGGCTCAGCTGGGTTACTGGTGCCTGGTGTGTATGAACAGGAAAGGAACAAACTGTAGGTCTGTCTTGCTAGTACAGTAATTTGTATATGCCTTGAGAGAAAAAGGAAAGACAGGGAGATAAGCCTAGAATGTTTTGAAGTCACGGACTATGTGACTGGCTCCATATTGCCTTCCAGAGCCAGAGGCAGGTGTGAATAAGCAAAGCCCACTGAAGTCAAAAGAATTCATTCAAGAAGTGAGCTTGGGTCTGTACCTTAACTCTGCTACTTGTTTAGTTCTCATTTTTGCTAGTTTGGATTTTAGGACTCAAGAGGTAATTTCTCATTTTTGTTCTTGTTGGAACTGGGGATTGAACTCAGACCCTTGCACTTGCCAGGGAAGCACTTATTCTACTGAGCCATCTCCCCAGCCCCAAATATATTTTTTAGTTTTTTTTTTTTTTTTTCAGAACTGAGGATTGAACTCAGGCCCTCGTGCTTGCCAGGCAAGCGCTTATTCTACTGAACGATCTCCCCAGCCCCTCATAACTTTTAAAAAAATGTATTAGTACAGGATCTACAGGGTCTCACTACACAGACTGGACTCGTAGTGATCCTCTTGTTTTCAGCCTCCCAAGTTCTGGGATTACAGGCTTGCACCACCATGCCCAGTCTCAATCACCATCTCAGCGCACCCCTAGGGGGCAAGGCTGGTATGGCATGCCAGGGATCAAATCCCGGTTTCTGTGTCTGCCTAAGCAGGTGCTTTAATCTATCTGGTTGGCCCTTTTCTCGTAACATTTTTTTTTTTAATTCTTCTACCTCTTTGTGCCTGTGCCTGCATATTTATGGATGAACAGAAAGACAATAAGGCTGATTTGTATTAAATGGTCATGTGGTTGCGTTAGGGATCTGCAAGTTGGGGTGACTTACTCTCTTGTGCTTTCCATACACACTTATTTATTTTCAGGTAAAGAAATAAATCAGACCTCAGATATGGTCAAAATTAAATTATAGACATGTAACATAGTGGTGTCAGTATGCATGGGTCTTTGCAATGGGTTGATCCTAAACTATTCCCCAACCAAACCAAGCCTCATTCCCTCAATTTCCTCTCCGAGTCATACATGGTGCACTGGTCTCGGTTTCGTTCAGTCTTTAAGGAGGTGTCTCCACCCTCTGTCCTACCAGGAAGTTCTGGAGGAATCTAGAGAAGGCAACATGAAGATTATTTGTTCTAACACAGAAACCAATCATGCCTCCCCATACCTAAGAGCAGCAACTGTCTTAAAACTCAACAATTCAAGGGTTTGTTGGGTGCAAGAATAAAAACCATTTAGGTGATACTGGAAAATGTAAAGCCAGCTGAAAGTATCCATGTTACAAGCTCAAAGCCACTATTCGATTGCTCACTGTGAATACAGCTGTCTCAAAGAAAGAGGCGGTCAGAGGCTTTTCTAGGGAGTCTGGCAATATCTTCTGCTTCATGGGGCCCAGGGTCAGCATCACATTTTTTGGATATTTACATTCATGGACTTCTAACAAAGAATAAATGTGTAATCTGAGAGAATTTTAAAATACATTTTTCAGCCTCAAAGAAATTCCCAATTGAAATTAGAATGATAGGTTTCAAATTGTATTCTTTGGTAGACAGAAATATTTTATACTAGATAACACTCTTCAAATGAGGTAAATCAGCAGATATTAAATACTAAAATATAGGCCCATTTTCCTTTAAGAATTTGAGACTCAGCCTACAGTGCCTCTGTTATATTCATTCAAATTATTTTATATTCTCAAACAATGAAGCTTCTCAGCTGATGGAATGTTGCCAGCGGGTTTCAACCAAGTCTGAAGGCAACATAACCAAAAGGCACAGTTGACACTGGCTTAAGGAATGAATGGGCGCCTTATCAGAGCAGCTGAGCTGTACACGATTAAGAGCATCTGTCAATATTCACAGGGCCCATATAGAACAAGCAGGCCCTGCAGCCCCGAGCAGCAACCTTCAGCTTCTGGCCCCTTCAGAGCCACATGACCTGAAAACCCAAAGACAGCCTCCAGCCACGCTGGGCTGGACGGACATTTTAGTGCCACTGGCAGGCTCAACTGCTAATTAATGCTAATTAGGACAATCCTGTTAACCTTCCCATCAGCGTTCAAATTAATCAGCTATCTTAGATATAAAATATCACTTACAAAGTTAAGTTTATGTTTATAACGGCTGATTAAAAAGCATCTCATTTTACTTTCCTGAAATGGGTTTCACTATGTACTGCACACTGCCTTTGAACTCACTCTGTAACCTGGGGTGGACCTGAAACTCCAGACCCTTCTGCCTCAGCCTCTGGAGTGATTATAGGTTTTTAACCACGCTCACGCTCACTTACTTTTATTTTTAAAAGGTGTGTAAATCTTTATTTGAAGAATTACCAATTTAATTTGGCTTAAACATTTCTGTATGAAGGGTACTAAATTCATTACATGATGATTTTGTATTGATAAATTTTACTCACCAGAGTGTATAAAAGAAACAAAATCCACAGTTTCATTAAATAAATTTATTTGTTAAAATAATTTAACTCCAAATACAACTGTTGACTTTGCATTGAGTTATAACTACAATTCATGTTTTAATTGAAATGTCAAGGTTTAACAACTGACATTGTTATAAAACAATAAACTGTTGTTCAATTTTAAATGGTCAGTTGTATTAGAGCTCAACAACTAACTGAACTATAATCTCTGGGAAACCCCAAATCAATAATGATAAGTCTGTTTTCAAAACCTACTGCAGTCATTCTTGAAACCCTGATCAAGATTTAATAGATGCACAATGACAATTGAAAAAGAAAAGAAAGAAAAGGACCCCCATAGTCTTTAAGATTTGATTGGCTAAAGAGACAATTAAAGCTTAACCAGTGCTAACACAGGACTACAGCTAGGAACAAAAATCTAAAAAACCCAAAAGAAAAAAACAAAACAATTCACGCAGACACTGACGACATTCACACGGGGAAAATCCACCCTGGAAAACAAATGCCAAACACCCTTAGGCAACATTTCTTTATATAGAAAAGCAAATTTCAGTAGTTTTACCATAGAAAAGTGATGGCAACTGTAATAAGGGAGTCAAAGGTTCAGTCCTAGTCCTACAAACCAAAGGACAAAAATCATCAAAGCACCTTTCAATAGTTAAAGATCTTATATAATACTTCTGATCAGATGCTGGCTTGTTTTGTGTAAATTAAATTAAATGAAGGCATCGGTTACCATCACTATCACAGCTTAAAGGAACCAAAAAGTTGCAACATCAAAAGAAAAAAGAAAAAAACTTAAGAAAAATGCTGCCTTTGTATAAAAGTAAAAAACGAGAAAGAAAAACCTGACCACAATAGCTAAAGAAGTTGTGGGTCTTTGGATCAAACCATAATATCTTTAAGGCATGTTAGAAAAACTTCCACTTATGGGTTGCTAGTCTGATCAGGGCGTAGTGTCAGCAGTGACCCAGTGCCCGATGTCCCCGGGAGCCAACAAGCGTAGTCTTCTGTTCTGGAGCTTCTCATTCCCATCCGGCACACGTGGTCACTCAGGGCAGCTGGGACCGGGGCCATGCTGACCACAGTGGAGGCAAGAGGTCCCCGGTTTGGAGGCCTCGATGCTGCGACCCTACACACTGGTCAGGCAGCCGCATCAGTGCTTAGCAACATCTTCACAGTACAAGCCCACCTTCCTGTCTGACAAACACTTCTAGACAAAGCCCCCAATTTCAGATCATCTTCCACCTCAGGGGGCCACAGCTTTTACATGACTTCACCTGTTTTTGCACCTGCATAGCAATCCATGATATAAAACTGTGGGATCTCTACAGCTGTTTCCAAAACACAATCTTAGTTGTCATAAATTGCTGTTATGAAATTCTAAAACACAGAATCATTATTAGAAGTTAAAGGCTTCAAAACTCAACAGACTTACTAACAAGTATTTCTACTTCAGTAGATAAATTATACTTCTTGAATCTTCAATTATTCTAACTAGTTGGGTCAACTTAACTTTTACACAGTGAAATTAGCCTAAAAAAAACTGGTTAAAGCTTTTCTGTCCTATAACCAAGGTGCTTTGTAATTGAAGACTACAAAAAATTTATGCGTAATTGTACAAATGCTCACAATTCAAAGTTCTCTCATAAACACGATCTGGCTTTACTCACATTATTTCTTTAGTTTTGCCATCTATGAAAAATGCTATCAAGCCTTGTTCTACCCTTGAAGCCTGATGCCAGTTACTAAATACTTAGGGGGCTATCAATGATTTCTAGGATGTAGAAAAGATGGTTAAATCATTTCAAAGAAAAAATGTTTTTGATACACTATATTCTGCAGTATAGATTCTCAGTATAGGCAATTATCTCTGACTTGTGCCAAATTCTTAGGAACAATAAACACACATGCACACACAGACACACTCTTCTCTCAGTTACACACGTAAGACCAGAGGTTACTTGCACGAGACTGTGGAACCAAGGACATTTGGGCGCTAAGTCTATCACAGGCTCAGTGGCACTGCAGTTCTCAAGGCCAAATTTCTCTCCAGAGGGTGGGCTCGAGGTCATCTCTTCCGTATTTCTAACTCTAAGGGAGGTGAAAACCTTTCTACATTTGATTGTAAAACTTTTGAATAGGTTTTTCCTGTGCCATTACTCATGCAAATGATAAATACTTCACGGCTATCAAAACCAAAAATGTCAGAGCTTGAGCACCTTTTCAGCACAAAATATTCACTCCAGCTTTATTTGCCACTTCAGTAATCAGGGCAGAATTGTTATAAGAAAACCTTTATATAATTCTCCAGGAAAATTAACGATAAAAGCCTTTTTTGTCCCTCAACCTTCCACTCTATAATTTATGGTCTACTTTTAAGCCCAAATTATTTCACATGGTTTTTATTCAATTGTTTAAATGCCTGCAGTAAAGCTCTGCTACAGCAAACTGGATTTCCAAAGCAGGTTAGCCAAGGGTCCCATCACACCATAGCCCTTAAAGGCGAGAAGGAATTTGCGGCTTTAATGAACGTAAAAATGCCAGGTATTTGCACTGTCCTGTGAGGTTTCTGCAAACGCGAACATGTGGCTGCAACATGGCTTCATTTTCCTTCGTGGTGGTACTAGTTACTCTACCAGAGTGCTTCCTGTTAGTAAGGCTAGGCGATCTCTCCACCTCAGTTGCTTCCTTCTGGTTCAGGAAATAAAGACCTTCCCTGCTTGGGTGACAGAGAATGGGTCTGGGGTTTTAATTCTGGCCAAACCCCTGAGAGAGCCTGTTTTCTGTGGCAAAGCAGGTGATTTACCAAACGCTAAAGCCAGACTGTATTTTCACACAACTCTCTTCTGACTCTGCTCTAGCAGGAGTGATGCGTGAGTTAGTTCCACGTCACAAATTAGTATAACATCTACAATTAAGCATTGATTCTGAAAAACAAATGTGTCAGCTGTGCAAAAACTCTCCCTGCAATGCTGTTGGCAGGCCAGCTGTTACGCTACTTGACGGAATACACTGCCTAGGAGCTCTATCCCAATGAAATTCAGTACTCTAGTAGGAAAATATTCTCCTTTAGTTATTATTATTATTTTTTTTTTTGTAAAGAAGACAAAATATTTAACTGTAAGTGGTCATAGGAATTCTTCTGGTTTCTCCCTCATGATTCACTTGAATTTCGACACTAGCTGCTTCTGTCAACTCAGCGACAATGCCATCATTGCTTTCACATGAGATCACCCTGTAGCTCGATGGGCTATGCCTACAAGTCGCAGATGCATAAGGAGGTGGAGGACACTGGTGAACACTGTAGGTACTGAACCCAAACGTACTCAGAGGCATCATCTGGCAGTCACTGCTCATTTCCGAATAAGGGCTGCAGTGCACCACGCATCCTGCCAACTCTGCAATGTGGTAGGCAAGGTCTCTATCGCCTACAGTACTGGGCAAGTCCTGTCTGGGACAGCCAAACTTGGATGCTATTGTATGTTACAGGCAGAACAGCATGGGTCATCTTTGTCAGGCTGGGCAGCATAGTTCATCTGCCTCACGATTTCGGCAAAGAGTTCGTCCACCATTGTTTTACTCTTAGCAGAAGTCTCCATAAAGGGGCAGCCCCACTCTTCGGCAAGGGCTCGGCCTTCATTGGAGGATACTTCTCTCTCACTCTCCAGGTCCACCTTGTTCCCAACCAAGATGACTGGTACTTTCTCATACCTAGGAGAGACAAAAGAAAACACACACACATTGTAGCGCTCAAACAGGTACACAATGTAGTTTTTGTTTTTCACTATCTTCTACTATAAATAGTCTCTTTAGTTCCATGAAGAATTATTTGTACCGCATGGCTCAATACCCACCTAAGGTTGTTTTGAAACTACTCTAGAAGAGATCACAAATGGGTTTTTCAACATGGTATTTTAATTATATAGCTTATAACATGTTCCAACCAACTTGAACCACTGGTGGGCTATCCATGCACCATTTCACTGGGTGGCACACACCACTAAACAGTACATGCTGACCCACAAGACAGTCATTCAGGTACCACTGGTGGACCAGAGCCACTGGTGGTGCAGAGCCACTGACAGCCAGAAAGATCAAGTACAGCCCTGTTGTGAATAGGTTAAAATAAATTTACCTTTGCAGACACAGTAGGGAAATTATTCTCAGAATCTCAGACTAATTCCTCTTAAATTTTTCTATTCTAAGAGATGTTTACTCAAAATTTCACAGCTGATCATGTAATAACTTGCTCTATACTGAGTAAAAATACAACTTATAATTGTCAACATTTTACTCTATTTTATAAATATTCAAACCAATGATGTTCAAATAGTTCCTACATAAGAAAAAACAGGATGGAAACCATCAAGTACAACTACATTGTTTATTCCTTTATAAAATGGTTACAAATAAGCCAGCTGAAAGAAAATAATTATTCTTTCCAGTCTGAAGTTGATTAAACATCTTACTCTTTGTGTTTATTTAATGCTATCTCTTTTCTTTCTTATAATTCAATAAAGCTATGAGTGTAATTTAAAAAAAAAAAAAGAACAAAGAGAAAGACACAAATCACTTTGCTACTTAAGTAGCCATCTCATAGGATGGCTCTTCCAGGTAGTACAGGACAAGAGAGATGTCATGGTGTACAAATACCAGGTGCTTGCCTGCATATGTGTTAACCATGCTTGATCTTAGAAATAGTTGTCTAATTACTTTTATGTAAAAGTCATCTCAAAAGACTTGATCTTTTTGTACTTTTAGTATAAATGATGTGTATGTGTTCCTCTAAGTAGAACACTCCTCTGATTTACAAAGGAATGAGAGAGCAAAATACACACAAGTGACAGCAAATGCAACAGGACACAGCTGGTCAGAAGAGGAAACGCCACAGGGTCAAGGCTTAACTGAGGCAGGATTCACAGACGTTTTAGCATTCAGGAAGGTGAATGACAGGTAGTAATCATTTACGATAATGCCTGTTGGTGATTGGGCACGAGGTCCAACTAAGAATGTCCTCAACAAGAGGGCATCCTCTTGGTAGTGCGCCATTTAGCCATCTGAAACACAATTTAAATTGAGTGGGAGCAACAACATTAACAGTAAGTCTAGAGTTTGGCTATTAGCACTGTGTAGGAAATGGATTTGGACAACTCCATTTTATCAAAGGATGTTATATGAATTTCCAGGACACCAACTCTAAGCCAGGATTCCTGGTCTTAGGTCATCCTGACAGCCCTGAGTATCTGACGCAAGGTCTTGTCATACTTTTTGGACTCTTACATACAAGCAATTCTGCGTAGCCAGGACTGGCCTCCCACAGGGGAGAACCCAGGGAAAATCAAACTGCCCTGAGGACAGCACTAGCAGCCCTCTTGATTTGTGGACAGAGAAGCCTGGCAGGGAAGAGCCCCGGCCAGCTGTGGCAGAATGCGAGCAGCTTCTACTCTGCTTCTCCTGTGAAGATGCAACTGAGTTTCCTTTTCCTCATGGGAAGACACACATGAATGTGTGGGGAGCGGCTGCGCTGTGACTGGGTCGGAAGGAGATCGACCACATGTTCAGGGCTGGAGTGGCATCGACAGGCCATGCACCGAGCTGCTGGGACGAGAGCAGGCAGGCCAGCGGTATCTGGCCCTGGTGCTCCTCCCTGCTGGACACAGCACAGACAGCTCTGCGAATGCTCCACTTTCAGGTTCTCAGCAAAACACAGACCTTGCACTGGCAGCTCTGTCACACGCCTCCCCACTTTTCACCACATATAAAGATGTAGATTGTCCTTGGTTGTTGCGGCCTGCTGCTCCATTAGGGAGGGTCCCACCTGGTCCCATACTAGACACTAGTAGGTGTCTAGTTTTTCCTTAATCTCTCAGTGCCCCCTCTCAGACCCTGCTGGCTATTATTAGTTATGAGCTATTTTAAGAAATATTTTTGAGTTTAAATATAGTCTATCATCATGGTTTATAGTAGAGGGATATATGGATTTTTCTAACCTTGCAAACACATGAAATTATCAATGGTTCTATGACACATTGTTTAAATCAAAGAGTTTGAATACATTTTACCCAACAATCTGAGTCTCAAAAGGGCAACCAGCACATTGCAACCGTAGGTCCATGTGCAGTAGCATTACTCTTTGGTAACAATATTTAATAATGTAGATGGAAATTCACTGTCAAAGAACCTGTCTATCTCTGAGTTGTCAGAAAACTTTCCTAAAAATTATAATTTTAAAGATGCTACAGAAATACAGATCAATACTTCATAAGATTTAAAAGAACTAAGTAAGATCTTTAGAAAAGATAACATACATTTCAAACTACCAGAGGGTGATATATTTCATCTGCTAACATTAAAGTTTGCAACAGTAGAAAATACTTCAAACTAGGATCGGGAGGCTCTGCTTCCATCCTGCTGAGGAGAGGCTGCGAATCATCTCCTGTACATCTCTGTATTTCATTAATAAGTACATGAGGAATGAGAATGTCTGTGCCCACTTAACACAAAAAGTTGCAGCAAAGGTCAAATCAGATAATCTGGAGAAAACAAGTACTAGATAAAGGCAAGGTGTTGTTTCCTGCCCTTCCTCGAGCTCACTGACGGGGAAACCACAGCTTGAGACACAAGGTGTTAGGATCCCAAGACATTAACCACGGAGGTAAGAAGCACCTGGGCAGGCACAAAGCAAGGCAGAGGGTTGCAGTGTCGGGCAGGAATGAGCCCAGGAGACAAGTCACAAGCAGCTGTCATGAAAGCAGCTTGACACTGCAACCCCTTCTCTATCCTGTGCTTGGCACCACGGTAATAAGACCAGCAGGAAAGCATTCTCACAGCATTGAGCAATGAAGACAGAAAATGGTGGTACTTGTAGGGGAGAGCATCTCCAAAGGTTCAGGGGTAGCATCACAGGATAGGGTCCTCTAAGTAGAAGGAAGATTTGGAGGGACCTTGCTTCTAAGAAGGATGGGTGAGAAAGAAAAGGGGAAGACCCAGAGCAAAGTCATCTCACAATTGTCTCTACCTGTCAGTGACTTCAGATTAATTTCCCCTCTAACTTGTCTCACATAAACAGTGCCTCCATTTCTTGCTGTCTAAAAGGAGCTGCACTAGATAGTTCCCAAAGTGCTCTTCAACTCCAAAAGTTAAAAAACACAATAGCCACAGTGGGCCACACCCACAGCCAGTGCCCATCCTTACCAGGGTAATGGCTCAGCCCTCGGCACACCTGTGACAGCAACACACACCAGACTGACTTCTAATGGATATGGAAGTACACAGCAGCAGCAAAGCCAGACAGTGTGAGGAGCCATCGCAGATCTGGGGACCAAAGCACCAGGCAGCAGGTGTTGGCTGCACCCACATGGGGGCTTGTTACATGCTCCGATTCACTGACAGGACTCAAAGATGTGCCAGGCCCTAAGCAGCTCTGTTTTGCAGCAGCATTGTTCAAACACCGATACTTGCAAAGTTTCTAACTATGTGACTGCTGAAGGCTACTTGGAGAACTTCAGCTGAATCATAAACAGCCGTTCAGTCCCTTCATTTGCCTGATCCTCCTGTATGCTGGATACTAGTCCCCGCGGAGCGAACTTACACAACAAACAAAGATCTCTGCCCTCACAATGACTATACTTTTGCAAAGGACACAGATGCCAACAATAAACAAAATAAGGAAATTACAGGCTTACAATCTGGGGATGCAGCTGAGTGGTAGAGCACTTGTGGAACACACACAAGGCCCCAGGTTCCAGGCCCAGCACTAGCAAAACAAAAAAACTCAAGTCTGCGTACTCCTCCACAAAAAAAGCAGGTTTACCAGAAGGCAAAGGCAAAAGAAAAGAATAAACAGGGCTGGCCAAATAGCTCAGCAGATTAAAGCGGCTAAAAGCAGGGGCAGGGGCCAGGGTTCGATCCCCAGGCCTGCCATGCCAGCCCCACCCCCAGGATGCACTGAGGCAGCGACTGAGACTGGGCGTGGTGGTGCGCGCCTGTAATCCCAGCTCTTGGGAGGCTGTAAACAGGAGAATCACTATGAGTCCCATCTAGCAGTGGAACACTGAACACCCTGGAGACCCTTCCCTAAAATACAAAAAAAAAGAAAAGAAAAGAAAAGAAAAGAAAAGAAAAGAAAAGAAAAGAAAAGAAAAAGCAGATCAGGGAGCGTAGGCCCCACACTGGGAATGCCTTTGCCAAGCAGGTACCAGGAAGAGCGCAGCAAATGGGACAGCACACGGTGCCAAATGGGAGCCCATGGAAAGAAGCCTGGGGGCTCACGGACACTGGCCAGATCCATCTGTGAACTCACATCTCCCGCAGCATTCCTCTGCTGTAGCAAGTATGTCCACTTAAGGGTAACACAACTGAGGCACTGGGGCGCCACAAGTGGCCTCAGGAGATACAGTGACATTTATGGCAGGGCCACTATACTACCTGGGAAGGACAGGCGCCTCTTCAGTAGTTGATGGCAGCTATTTTCATTGCGTGTTGTACTCTCATGAACACTTTTACTTGCTGTCTTCCTTTGCCTCTTTTCTAAACACTTCATTTGGGAAGAAGATGAAAATGCAAAGCTGCCTAAGGACTCAATGTAACCCCATCATGCGTCGTCATCTTGCGCATCAGCAAGCATTTCACAACCTCGGTATCGTCCTTGCAATTTCTCCTAAGCACAGTCACAGTCAGAGAGTGGCTGATGCAGATCACACTGATTTGTT